ACAGCGCCGTTCAGCAGAGCAGATCGCTGATCCTGTTATCGACGCGCGGTGGCCGGGAGATCCCCGGGAGTTCCCCGTCCTGGGGAGGCTCCCAGCCCCCGGGAGCGGCCTCATGTCCCCGCTGCCTCTGGGCGAAGGCTCTCTCTGACTCTGTGCATCATTAGCAGTGGCTCTGCTAATTGCCTGTCCCACAGCAGTGCCCCGTGGGCAGCACCGCTGCTCTCGGGAGCAGTTTTTAGGTGTCTGTGGGGGAGTCGGGTCGCCAGCCCTCTGCAGACACAAAGGAGCGTTTCCGCTGGCAGCGAGCTCACAGCAGGCTCCGGCTTTCAGCAAACACTTCCATGCCTGAATAATCTCAGCTGATCTCCTCAATCCCCCCTCAGGGTGGCCAGCCAGGCTGTGCCCCCATGCTGGCTCCTGAGAGCTCCTGCTTCACGGTCTGGTCACTGCATCCATGGTAGGGCAGGGACAAGGGGCTCTGCTGGCATCGTGGCACCCGGGAGCAGTGTGTCCCCACCCTCACATTCCCCATCCCCACGTCCCCACCCTCCCCAGAGACCCCAGGCAGGGCTCGTGGCTCCCTGCTGCCCTCCCGGTGCCACCCACTGGCAGCCGTGACCCCAAAGGCCTGGGAATATCTCCAGTTCCTGAATTCGCTCCCCTTCAAACACCAGATGCCAAAAAAAAAAAAAAAAAAAAAAAGAGAGAGAGAGAAGAAAGAAAGAAAAAAAAGTACCTAGATCCAAGATGTTTTGATTTTGCAGCGCTGGTTTTACTCCACCAGCCTGCTGTCTTTTCCTCAGATCCTGCAATCATTTGTGTTTGATGTGGTGAGGGCCGCCCTTCCCCGAACCAGCTGGGTGGCTGGGGGCTGAGGGAGGAGGTTTTTGGAGAAACCGGGCAAAATCCAAGGGTCCAAGGATCCTCCCTGCCCTGCTGCTCTGCTCCTGCGCTGTTCCCCGAGGACCAGGCACTGCAGGAGGCAGAGGGCAGCAGGGACTGGGGGGGGGACATCATTTTTTTGGGGGGGGACAGCCTCTTTGGGCTGTGGGAAGGGGCTGCCTGCAGTCAGGGCCACCCCCCCCTTCAGCCATTTGCTGAGGCTTGGAGCACAGACCCCTTGAAATTAGTTACCAAAACTCTTTGACTTCAGCAAAAGCGGGATTTCTTTCGTCCAGGTTCCGAGCAGGGAAGGGATTTCAGCTGGGGGAGGCTGGGCTGGATGAAGCTTTTGTGCACGGGCTTCAAACGTCTTTCAGCTTCGCTTTAGCTTTACCTGTGCTGAACCAGGAAATAAATAATGGATGTGGGAAGGACGGTAATGTGTTGTGGCACCGAAACCCTGGAGAGGGCTGAATAATAAATAAAAGCCTTTCTTCTTTTATCAGTGTCCTTGCTGACTGAGTACCACGCTGGGCAGCCAGAAGAAACAAGTTTGGGTGGACGGGGAGGAGAGGAGAACAGGAGCCCCTGGGGCTGGGGCAGGACAGGCCCTGACCCCTCAAAGCAGCCTCCCTCCTCCCAAACCCCACCGCCCAGCCCCATTTCGGGGCCTGCCCAGCGAGCACGGGGACTTAACCCAGGGCAGGTGTTTGTGCAAAGGCCGTGCCCTGCTTTGCCTGGCTCAGTGCACGTGTTGGCACGTGAGGCATGGAGCTGGGGGGGTCCTCTGAGCCGCGCCGAGCCCAACCAGGCGCTGAGCGCAGGGATCCAGGCACGGGGACGGGGAGGGAAGGGGGGTCCGGAACCCAGGAGGAGGATTTGTGCATGAAGACCCCCAGCCCTAGATCCGTCTCCATGAAGGCAGGACCTCAGAGCTGCTGCCTAGGGGGTGGCTGCTCCCTGTAAAGCCCTGACCCCAAGCTGGGCAGCTCGGGGAGGCCGAACACCAGATGCATATTTGGAGCGGGTGTCCGTGAGACCTGCCCAAACCCACATCACTTCCCAACTCGCTTCCCAACGTCTCCACGGCCGCCGGGGCTAATCGATGCCGTTTGTTTGCCTTGGGGGCAGAGGGTATCGATCTCCTTTGTCTCTCTGCCTCCTTGCGTGATGCCAGGTGTCTGAAACCCATCCAAGTTGTGCCGGCGCCAGGCCGCGCGGCAGCTGAGCCATCACCTGGGTCAGCCGGGAGCTGCTGGAAACGCACAATGAGCTCCCGGCCGGGAGCCACAAAACAGCCAGACAAAACCCCCGGGCAGCTGCTGAGCAGCTCGGGCAGGCACGGCAGGAACAATGCCAGCGTGGGGGGAGCGTGTCCGTCCGTCCGTCCGTGCGTCCGTCTGCACGAGCGCTCGGTCACGCCGGCGGCACCGGGAACAAAAAGCTCCGGGGGTGGCAGGGATCTGCTGGGGGTGCAGGGGAGGGGCAGGAATTGTGTGGGATGCTAGGGGGGGAACTAAAGGAGGGATGGGGATGGGAGCAGTGAGAGTGAGCTAAGAACTGGGATCCTAAAATAGTAATTGTTCTGCTGCTGTAGTTCTTTTGCTTTCTGGCCCTTGAGGATATATGTGGAGGGGGCTTCTCTGGGCAGTGCGGAGAAATAAGAACAAATCCCCAGGATGATGGTGACAATCATGTGGCTGCTGGCGTCGCAGGTTTAGTGCAGGTTGATTATTGTGGTTTCCCAATCGGTTAATGAGAGATGCTGTTTCTGGAGCCCCTTCAATCCCAGCAGTGTTGGTAAAAGCCAGCTTGCCTGGGTGCGTGCTGCTTCCCCTGCCTGGGGAGTGAGGGCTGGTGGTCACTGATGCCACCAAGTCCTGGGCTGGATGTGACCAGAAGGACTCAGTCCATGTAACCACAGCTGGATTTTCCCTCCTCGAGCGCAGGAAGGACTCAACATCATCTCAAAGCACCCAGCCTTTGGGTGCTTTGCAAACTGGCAGAGGCAGCTGTGAAGCACTCAGAAGCCCAGCCTCGACCAGGCTGGATTCAGTAGGAGCTGCTCACACACCTCCAGGAGCAGAAACGAGCACCGGGGTAGCAGAGCGAGTTATTCTCGCAGCACCGAAACCACCAGGGGTGCCCCACTTGAGGCTGCGGAGGCAGGCTGAGCGCCTCCCTGATGCACAGCAGAACCCTGCATAGGAAGCCAGGAGCATTTATCAAGCACCTGGAGCACACAACTCTGTGGGGCTGATGTGAACCAGCTGCGGGTGTTGATGCTGCTGCCCTTGCCCGAGGAGCAGGGTCTCGTTTCCCCTGCGAGGGAGGACCTTTGGACTGGGGCTGCTGGGCTCTGGCCTGTGCCGCTCAGGCTGTGGTGCAACGGGGATTTTGCAACGAGTCGGTGCCAAACTGTGAGTAAATGGACAAAGAAAGCTCAGTGCAGGCCAGTTCCTGAGCCACCGCGAGCAGAGAGCATCTCCCTGCGGGCATTACACCGGGCTGACCCCATCAGTTTGGGGAGTGAGGGAGATCCCGCACCAGGAGGGAATTTTCCCTGCAGCAGCCGGGCTGCTTGGGCTCGTTGCTGTACCCAGCCCTACGCCTTGCTCACTGCTTTTCATTTTCCTGTGGGAAACAGCACAAAAGGCCCTCCTCCTGCGTCAGGTGGCACTGGGGAGCTCACGATTTCCCCGTGCAGCTGGCAGCGTCTCGGTGCCGCCTGCCATCCCAACCCCCTTGGGTACCCAGGCGATGCGCAGCCCTGGGGAGAAGCCTCTGCAGGTGCCTCCGTACTGAGCTGATCCCTGCTGCCTCTGCCTCGTCTCCCCAGCACCTCTGCTGTAGGAGGAGCACGGGGACGAGCAGCACGGGACCAGCAGCAGCCCTGTGCTCACCCCACAGCCTGGCATCCCGCTGCCCGCCAGGCATGGGCAGCCCCGCTGCTTCGTGGTGCTGGCCTCCTGCCTCCAAATCTGCGGGGAGCCACGGCCGCTCTTTAGGTGCGATTTAAAATCCCGTGCACACGCTGTTGCCATTCACCAGGAGGTATTTTGACAGGGCTCTGTGATGCACTAATTAGAAACAGTCACTTAAAATCCACATCTGAAACGCGTTGTGGGATTGAGGTTCAAGGAGCGCAGGTTTGCTGCAGACACTGGATTCCTAAAGAACAATTTCCCACACCTAAATAATGATGTTTTCCATCATGTTACATCCATTAGCTGGAGCTTGGCAGTTGCATCCATCATAATATGCTATTTCGGGGAAATAAATGAGCGTATTTTTCTCTCTGAGAACCAAGGCAAAAATACCCAGCTGCTGAAATATTGAGCAGGTTTATACAGAGAGACCGAGCGCAGATCATTGCTCTAATACGTGGATTCAGACATTAACATACAGCATAGACTGGTTTGCTTTCTTATAATCCTGTAACCTAAGAACTAACATTTTCATAGTTGCTACTTATTAAGTTTGCTTTTAAACTCTGCAATTAGCCTCCGAGCGACGTTATTAAATGATATCATGGCTCCGCCAGAACCAGCCCGGCTGTATTTATAGCTGCTCTCAATAGCCTTTTCAGCCTCCTTGTCCTGGGAGGGTGTCTGCTTTCCCTGGGCTTTTTAAAAGCATTTCAATTTAATTTCCCAGGTTCTCGGCGGCGTGCTCGCCCATCCCCGCTTTGGGTTCCGGACCCGGGGCTCCGCGGGTGCACCCAGTGTCGGGGTTACATCAGGTGGGATGTGCTGCTCTGATGGCCATAGTGGAGGAGGATGAGCAGGGCAGAGGGTTTTTTTCCATCTGTGAATGGTCATTGTGAAGATTAACAAGTGGTTTGTGGTGCTTGCAGCACGCCAGGTAAATCCTGCACCGTGTCAGCCTGCAGGGACTCACCCAGCACCTCCAAAGTCGGTGGGACTTGAAGGGAGCCTGCTGGTGAGGTTTTAGCAACCTCTGGAAGGAGGAGCTGGCCCAGCTGGGGCTGATTTAAAGCTGGCCTGCTCTGTGGCCATAAGGCTGCTGGTGTGAAGCTGCTGCTTGCCTGGGAAGGGGAAGAGAGAGGTAGCAACAGCCTATGGGATGCTCTCTGCATCCCCAAGAGGCAGCCAGTGGAGCCCCTATAAAGGTGCAGCAGCTTCCTTGGTGTGCCCAGGCTGTGCTTCAGGTGGGTGGCACTGGATGATAACAAGCAATCGAATAGACCACCCCATCCACACTCCGGCCATGGGATTTGCCAGCTGATTTTCCTGATCATGGGTGAGGAAAAAACACCCCCCTGATGATGCTGTGGGGGGAGCATGAGGCTGTAGCTCTGTGGCTGGGATCTGGGTGGTGCTGGATGGACACGGGCGTGCTGGGGGGCTGCAGAGCCACGGGGTGGTCGATACACGTTTTGCCAGCAGCAGGGTCCTAGAAAATGTGCTAGTTAAAGATTTTTGGGGCTGTTATCACAGGATATTTAAGAAGGCTGATTCCCAACAAGGGAAGCGCCTAACCCCAGCTACCGAGTGCTGCCACCACCCAGTGCTGGGCTCAGGGGCTTTGATGCCATGAGTATGAGAGCAACTGGTGCTGCAGGGGCAGGGAACGAGTGGAGGAGAGCCTCACACGCCAGAGCTGACCCCATCCACCCGCACGTGTGCCAATGTGGGGCTGCTGCTGCTGGGCAGTGCCAGCTGGGGCTGCTGCCGCCAGCCCCGCTGCTGCTGTTGGCTCCGAAAGCAGCAGAATTGGCCTTCAGCCAGCTGCTGCGAAGTCGCACGAAGCCCCTCTGATGGATTGCACCTCTCACAACTCCTAGCGCGAGGAGCAGGTACAATTAGCAGGCTGCGCGCGGGATCTTCTCTGCAATTTTTTCCTTGACATCATCAGTAATTACCCGCAATAAACACGCTGCTGCCGGCCGCGGGCTTGTCAATCACCTGGCAGCGTCATAAATCCTCTGCCACAAGCCTCGCTGCCAGGCGGGGAGAGGAGAGCTGTCAGAAGGGTGCCTGACACCCGTGGGGCTTGGTGTGTGCCCCCCCTGGGCTTTGGGGCTGGGGCTGGGGGCTGGAAATGACTGCAGGGCTGCTCCCCAGAAGAGCCATCCCCAATTACCTCGTGCGAGCCTGGCAGTTCCCCCCACTGGAGAGATACAGGGTTATTAAGCAAATATGATTAATGAATTAAAGAACCTCTGGCATGCTGCAACGAGGCTCCAAGGCTCGCCGGGCGCCGGGAGGATTCGGCGGCTCACACTTCGGGAACTGTGTCAGGTTTCCGCAGTAATACGATTAACGTGCTGTGTGATGGGCTAACCCCTGCCCGCAGCATCCCTCCGGGCTGCTCCCCGGGGGACACAGGGATGAAGCTGTCCCTTTGTGGTGGATGTGCTCGGGAGCACAGCAAGAGGTAATGCTGAGCTGGGAGCGAGGGTACGGGGCTGATGCTGCGGGCAGGGGGTCAGCAAAAGGGATGTAATGTCGTGGATGTGTGCTGAAGGGATGTAATGTGGATGTGTGCTGAGCCTGGGCTGCCCAAGCTCGCTGGCAGGAGGGATGGGGAGGTTTTGGAGTGTCCTGCTCCCTGCCCATGGGTCAGACTGGGAGCAGCCGTGGGCAGAGATGGAGGTCTGCTGGGGGACAGCGCTGGCTCCTCTGGCAAGGCAAACCCTCCCTGTGCTGCCTTCGGGCAGGGAATGTTTCCTGCCACGGGGTAAAAGCAAAAGGCCAGGTGATGTAGGAGCAGGAACTGCAGCAACTGACTCGGGTTTACCACCAGGGATGCGCTCCTGGTGCGAGGCTTTGCCGTGGGCATTCCCAGCCCTGCCCTACGGTGCTGTGTCTGTACCACCACCTCTCACCCACCCTGATATACCCTCCATCCTGGGAAGTTCTGCATCTGTATGCAGTGAGTACCTTGTTTTTTTTTTTTGTTTGTTTGTTTTTTCAGATTTGGACATTTTGGGGCAGTTTTTCACTGTGGTCCCTTTTGGATTGGTTTTAGTCTCTTAATTACCGAGCGATTGCAAGGAATCGGCGCACGCAGGGGGACTGCCTACGGAGGGATTAATCTCCGGCAGAGACCTCTTTACAATCCTGTTGCCACACCAATTCCCCACACTTACAGAAGCCGACCACAGTGTGAAAATTGATATTTATGCTGAGGAGCGTCAAGGCATCACCCGTGCACCTGTTCCCTGACTTCTCTCCTCTGGGGTTTGAACTCTGCCGCTGCATCTCCGAGCCCTAAAAATGAAATAAGTGCCCGGCTGAGCCAAATGCGATGAACACAACTCCCCGAGATCCTGTGGATATCAGCCTCCAGCTTAAAGCGAAGGAGCCTGAGTGCTGGCAGTCCTGGCCCTGCAAACTTGTTGAGCCGAATGGAAGCAGCGGCAGAACGGGCAGATTTTGTGATAGGGATTAGAAGCCTGCTGCTGGGCATGGCTTAAATTCATTCCTGCCTGCCTGTGGCCTCCCTCTGTCCTGCTGGTTAAGTGGGGTCAGCCGTGGTGTGCTGCTGACAGATTTCCAGGACAGGCAAAAATACCGGGGGGCACTGCTCGGGTGCAGGCGCTTCTCAGTCCTGCAGAGAGGGAAGCCAAGGCGCTCCCAGGGAGCAGGAGCGAGGGATGCTGACAATCTCAGCGGCTCTGTTCTGGCCGGTAATGGATCTGTTAACGTCTTCCCTGCAACGAGGAGAGACAGGTTTATTTCTGTGCCTCTCAGGAGACAGGCTGGAGCTATTATAAGAGTTATTAAGCTATTATACGCAGGTATTAAGGCTGAAAGAAGTCAGGTGTTATGAGGGCGTGTGGAAGAGAAACCTCAGAGGTGCACAGGAGGCAGGCAGAAGAGGGGAAATGATGGTGAGACACCTGTGTGTGCAACCAACAAACGCTAGGGAAGGTAAACCAGAAGTCACCTTCGAGCTCCTGACAAGGTGTTCAAACTTTCCTTCTGCCTGACGGCAGAGCCATACGGATTCCTGCAGGGAGGTGAGCAAGAGAGCTTGGGCTGAGGATGTTTTGCTCACCACATCTTGGCTCTTGTTTTGGGCTTCTGCAAAAGTTGTGTCGTAGCTAACAAAGCTCGTGTTTTTGGTGTTGGTGGGAGCAAGCGTGCAGTGTCTGCCTCCGAATTAAAATGTCCAGCTGGAGGAAGGAAGCTGGGCGAGGAGGGAGGATGCTAGGTAGAGCTGGTACATGGAGAGGACGCCTCAAAACCCAGTGTGGGCAGCATCTTGGATCCACTCGGCGTGTAAAAGCTCTGAGCACAGCGGGATACAGCAGCTGGATCTCTTTACGGCCATCTGAACATCCACCACAGGGAGCAGAGCCAGCGCCGTGACACACGAGCGCAAAACGCTCGTCGGAGAGGACAAATGGAATGTGAAAAACCAACAGAAACTCCCAAAGTGGGTCAAATTCCTTGATGCTTCTAACAATAGATGCAGGACGGGAAGGGCAGGGTCCAGCTGGTTGCTCGCCTTCCTGCGCCTCCCCACGTCTGGGCTCGGTCAGGGCAAAATTTAGGGGGGGCAGCAGAAGGCCCAGGTGGTTCCCACCAGCGCTGCGAGGATGGAGAAAAACCCAGCAGCATCAGGGCAGCGTTAGCTCACGTGTTATGCCTCTCACTGAACATATGTGGGCTGGGTAGCCAAAAAGGACTGCGGGGAGAAACCCAAAAAATCCAGCCTCAGGAGCCTGGGGACAGGCACGGTCCTTGCCAGCGTGGCCAGAGCATGGGGCCATGAACTTGCAGTGAAACTTTCTTCTTTTTTTTTTTTTCCCCTCTATTTTCAAAAAGCAGCCCCCCTCTTCCCTGCTTTAATCACTTTTAAACAATCCTGGAGGAGCGAGGTGAGGGTAAATAACTGTGGGAAGCAGGGGAATTCTTGAACTGTTAAAGGAATCAATATAAATCTCGAAGTAACCTTGCCCTGGTATCTTCCTTATCACCTCTGAGGCTCTACCTGCCTTTGTCTAACAACAATTTCAGTTAATTAGATAATTAATCTAATTATCTAATTAGGTGGAATAGCTAATGGCAATTCCACCTAATTAGGCCAGTCACGGTATCTCGGCAGCGGCGGTTCTCTCTTCCTGGCCAATTCTCCACCTTCTGCCATGACTGAGACCAGGCAGCGATGCACAGCTCATCGCTCTGCCTTTGCTTTAACCAAAACCACCTGGAAACCTTTTTACATTTTCTCTCAAGGTTCCCGTTTGCACCCAGGCTTCCCTTCCTCCTGGCAAGGTGGCCACTTGGAGAGCAGACAGGGAAGCTCTCAGCGCAAGATTAATTTTTAGTGAGGAAAGCAGCAACCCCCTCCTCTTGTAATTCATCCTCCTGGTGTAAGATTAATTTTGCTTCTGAGCACAGCAACCTGTTAGGTTTGAATTGATTCTGGGGAAGCGTATTTCTCCTAGGCTGGGGGGAACGTTGTAAGCAGTGTTTTTTTTCCCTTTTTTTGAGGAAGTTTGGCGAACTCATGGCTTTGGTGCCAAGCGTGGCCCCTTCTCCTGGAGAGATACGTGATGCTCTCCTGCTGCAGCTTTCCTAGGAGCTGCAGGGTACCAGCTGCTGCTCCCTGGGCTGGTGCAGCCCCTGGGCTCCTCTCTGCAGGGTGCTGCAGCTGGTGGCACCCTCACACCACCTTTGGAGCGGTGGCCACAGCCCTGCTGCCCTCCCGGAGCTGCGGGGGAGCCTGTGGGCTTGCAAAGCTGCCATACGGCTCTTGTGGTGATGTTGTGTTTTTTTTTCCTCCCTTAATGCCTAAATTGGATTTAAGGCCATTTCTGTACATTCCAAAACAAATCAGCAGCTGTCTGCCAAGCAGGCAGACGTGGCCCTGAGATAACACTGCCGTGCTCGCACTTTGCACCCAAAGCTCCCAGCGCCCCACCTTGCCAGCCCGAGGGCAAGGAAAGCCATGTAGCACCTGAGCAGTAAAGGACAACGACTCTTCCCCCTTTGAGGCACGTTTTATTGTTAACACCACCTCCATCAGTTGCTGGAGCCCCTCCAGCCGTGTCCAGCACCCTTCGGTGCTGAGCTGGGGAAGGAGGCAGCTGGGAGCCAGCGCTGCGTGCCACAGAGCCCCAGTGAGATGAGATGGGCAGCTGTGCCCTGCAGGCACGTTTCTGCTGCAGGCCACCTCTCCATCCTGGAAAATCTTCCTTCCCATAGCGGTCCTGGGTTCATCTGCACTGACAGCACCCAGATCTGTGACATGGCTTGGCGGAGAGAGCCCTGCTCCTGCCTCCATCCTCCTGCACGACGAGCACCAGATCAACCCATGGCTCGTTGTTTTTGCTCTCCTTGTTTGGTTGGTTTTAATATCTATATGTATGTAACAAACACCATAAAATGGCTCCTTGGGGTACTTTGATTTTTTCCTTCTGTTCAGAAAAAAAAGTTATATATTATATTTCTATATATTCTTAACTGCTTGGAGCAACGTTGTCTCAGCGTTCTCATTGCGAGCCCCCCATATTGAGATGTTTATTACAGCATGGTGAAAATTTACATTTAGTTGAAACTTGGCACGTGCTTTTTGGCTTGAAGCAAGTTTTCTTTTTGAAGGAGTTTACTCTTAAACGTTTGAGGTTGTTGATTTTTTTTTTTTCCCTTTCTCTTTTCATTTTCAGAAAGCAGCACCTTTCAGAGCTGAATTCGGAAGCGGTAGGCCAGCTCGGCAGCAAGTGTGAAAGCTGCAAGTCAAACACGGGGCCGCAGCCATTCATGCTTTTTTCTGACATCTGTTGAGGGAATGGGAGGAAGGGAATTCAGCTGTACTCTAGAAGAAAAGAGAGGCTTTTTTTTTTTTTTTTTGTTCTTTTGGTGAGTCCCGTGGAGCTGCACTCCCACCAGATGCTGGTGATCCTAGTGCCAGCTGCACAGAGCACAGCATCGCTGATTCCCCGGCGCTGGGCCCTTCAGAGGCCCCAGAGCGAGCCAAATTTGCTGTACCTGTAAGAAAACGGAGGGCACGACAGGCTTGTTGCTGTTCTGTGACTTGGCGGCGTGTTGGATAGCGACATCCCTGGCAGTGCCCGGCGCCGTGCTGCTGCAGTGCCGCTGAAGTGGCGGTGGTTGCTGCCCATCTGGCTGGCACTACAGCCTCCATGCAGGTGACACAGCCTGTGCTTTGCTTTATAATCTCCAGTTTTTCTTCTTTCTCAGGTGGGAAGAGCCAGCGTTCCAGTGTGAGGACACGCAGGTAGACGATGGGTTTCATACAGATGCTGCTCGGGAATAAATCAGGCTTGTACAGACTTCCCAACTGCAGGGGCAGACGCCTCCTGCACACAGACTCCTTTTTGGCCAAACTTTGCAAGTGCCTAAGGACTTAGAGGAATTTTGTGTGGGCCGTGCAAAACTGCTCCTGCCTCCCAGAAGTCTCGTCTGTGCTGTGGAGGTCAGCGGGGCGCCTGCACTACAGAAGCTGTGAGTGCTGCGGGGCCAGGGGCTCCCAAAGCCTGCAGGAGGTAGCAAAGGGCTGCGGGGGGCTGGCGGTGCCTGTGTCTGCAGGGATGCTCTTCCACGTCCTGAGCGTGTGTGTGTGCTGAGCCTGCAGGCTGTGAAAATGGCTGAGGATGAGGATGGAGGGAGCAGACAGCCCGGCAGCACACCTGAAGGGGCAGCCTAAACGGCCTGATGTCCTCATATCGAAGGTGGGCAAACATCTCTGGGGGAGCCAGGACCTCCCTGCTAGCTGGGACAATTTCCAACCCTGGAACCAAGTGGGATTTCTTCTGAGATTCTGAAATACTGTAGAGAGGGCTCGTTTTTCTTTTTCTTTTTTTTTTTTTTTTATTTTTTCTTTCCTGCCACTTCCACTTTCTAGCAGCAGTCACAACTGGAAGTACCAAAAATCTGCAGAGTGAGCCTGCTTTCTCTGGCTCTGTCTTGAAAACCCAGGAAGTTTGAAGAGGTCTGATAATCACCCTGGTTCCTTATCAGCTTTTCCCCACCGAGGGGTCTCCCAGCACCCAGCCGGAGGTGGCTGTGTGGCTCTGCTGGCATCACTGGCACTCAGCTGGCACGCTGGCTGCCTGCAGCAGCACTCACTGCAATGGGAAAAAACAGTGTTAGTACTTCTAGTCCAGCCTTTGTGCTGTTTTTTCTATTTTTTGCTCTCCCATTGAGTTTCCACAACAGAGCTGTGCCCGTGCTGTGAAGACACCAAACTATTCTCATGATTTTACATCAGAGATATGACAATTTCATGGCAATATTTACAATACCTTGCTGGCATACCTGAAATCAGACAAGGAAGAATTGGACTCTGTTTCTAGCGGGGCTTTTCAGCCCCTTCCATATTTTATTTAGGTGGCTGAATTCCAAGGGTGACTGGTTATTTTCCCCTCCTCCTTCTCCCCTCATGTTATCCTGTTTTATTTTTTGTTTGGTCTGTCTGTTTGTATTTTACTCGATAGCACTTTTTGGCCCAGCGCTCCCATTGCTATGCAGATGCTGCGCAGGTCTATTCATCATTTCCCACTCACCGTGTTTCAGAAGTCTGTTCAGCAGCGCCGTGTCTTTCCTTGTTGCAAGCCTCAATGCTCTACAAACTGCGTGGAGCGAGGATATCAAGGTACTTTTTCTTGGCTGCCAGCATGTAACATGAAGGGGGAGGCAGATTTGGAGACGTTGCTTGTTTCTATGGATGATAATCAATAAGGCCCATTAGGGAGACAACTACATACATCACTAAACTTTGACCTCTGCTCTCCAGAGCAGTCCCAAGATGCCTATTCATACGCTGGTGACATCCAGATTGCAGCTATTGCAAAAGCCTCTTTGCTCAGGAAGGGATTACAGATTTAAATTGCACAGCCCTCGCTATCTGTACAATACAGCGTGCAGGATGCTTAGCTGGTGCCTCTGCTTTTTGTTGGCTTTCCTTTCCCTCAGCTGAGTTCTGCGTTTAACACTGTTGCACACACAGCTTTTTATGCCTCCCTACCTTTTCAGGCTGTTTTCTGCTCCTGCCTGTCTGGCACTTTAAGGGTTTGCAGACCCTGGGATTCTTGGCACCGGCTCTCGCTTGCATATTGCTCCTCATCTTTCAGATCCTTTTTCTACTAAGTTGTTCTTCAGCAGGCTGTTTCTGATAGAAAGTTTTTGGCTTGCTGTTTGAAGTTCCTGATAGTCGGCATTTGATCACTTGCTAATTCAGTTCTAAAACTATTTTCCAAAGAACCCATGAAAGACCATCTATAAATAGATTATATTAAAAGAGAACTTTTAAAAAAGACCCTTATTTTGCTGAACAGAGGAAGTTTTAGGTTTTCTGGGATGGCAAAAAAAAAAAACGTTCCAAATTTAGAGGCAAATTGGAAATCCCTGGGTGTTTGAGAAATCCATTTCCAGAGGCAAAAGCTGGATGAAGAGCTCCCCTCCTTCTGTATCTCTCCCTTGTGAGAGCAGCGGGTGAGGAGGGAGGTGCAGGACCCGATCCCACAGGGATCCCTGGGGCAGGAGGGACCGGGGCAGCTGCTCTGCTGTGCGATTCCTCCTGCAAGCGATCAAGGTCCATATTGACATCGCCTGCCTTTGCTCCTCCCATGGCAAGGCTGTTTCTGTTCCTTGCTCCTCCGAAGGTTAGAAACAGATGTCTGATTTCCAGCCTACATGGCCGGCGTAGCTCAGCTGCGCTCTTGGTTCTCGTCTGTTGGCTCTTCTATTGCCCCAGCGTGCTGCCTCCTTCCCCAGCGTATTTTTAGAGGGTAGCCGTATCCCCTCTCAACCTTTGTTTCTCCAGGCTGAGCACGTTGAACTGGTAGAGACTTCTATAAAACAGGCTTCCCACTACTCTGACCAGCCTAGAAGCTCTCCCCTGTGCTTGCTCCAGCCTGCATGCAAGTTTTTGTCAAGAATTGCCTGGAGAATGGCAACTCCAGCAAGATCTTGCCTGCACGGTGCCATTAAATGCTTCCCTGTCTCTGTTTGTTGGGAGCTCTGATATCTGCAGCTTGATGTTTCCCTTTCCAGGAGCTCAGTCCACACCACTGGTTCTCCTTGCCTCATCCCTTGCCTACTGTGCCATGCCTGTGCTCCCGGCTCGGCTAAAAATACCCCATCTGACAGCGTACCAGAGTCTTTACTGAAGTCTGGAAAATGGCATGCTGTGTGGGAACTCTCTCTCTTATCATTTGCTTTTCTCCCACAATTATCAGTGAAGTCTCTCAGCGTCTCTGTATTAATCCAGCTCCCTCGGTGTGTTTTGCAGGAGCATGCATCAAGCTCGGTGGTGCACCGGGGCCATCCATCAGCGAGTTCTGTGTTTACACAACTCCTAGCACAACGCTTTCCCCAAAAGCTTGCGAACTCAGCCCGGGCCGCATTTTTAAAGGTCCTGTCAAGTGCTAAGTGAGATTTCCAAGAGTAGTTTCCTCCTGACTTCTTGCTGGCATCGGCACCTGCGAGCCAGTGGCAGCTAACGCTGTGCTTTGAAAGCGGAGGAGGGTGCGGTTAGCTGGCCACCAGCGCCTCTGGCTAACGCGTGCTCTCCGGTTTGGTGTTTTGTTTTGTGGTGAAGACTTCCAGGCTTCTGAGCGCAGGCTCCTGCTTCCCTTGCCAAGGATGCTCTTACTGCACGGCAAACATTACTCTAGTTTGCGTGGGGGCCACCGGCTTTCGCACAGTCTCTTTTCATTCCTCCTCTCGGTGTCTTCTCCCCAGCTCGGAATCCCACTCAGCGGGATGTGCTGGGCACAATGAAGTGAGTGCTGCCGTTTCTCCCTCAATTGCTAATTTCCCTTTTCACCCACTTCTACTAAAAGGCGCTAATCACGCGGTGAGACACAACTTTCCTGCCCCAGAGCATCACTTCTGAGCCTTTTAGCTCTGGCTAAACTCACAGGGACCCCCGTGTCCCGAGCCCGATTCCAATTCCTGTGTAACAAATTCCCTATTAAACCAACAGAAAGCTCATTTACGAGTGGTTAGAATTCAGGCTGTTGAGGACAGCAGTCACTTCTGAGAAGTTACGCAGCTCTGATGCAAAATCACAAAAATGCATCTTTACCACAGTGACTAACGGGGCCGAGAAGCTCGAGTTAATATTTATATTTGGCATTGAACCCTATGCACAAATACTGACTTTGGCTGGGTGTGTAGCGTCCTGCTTTGTTTTTAAACCCGTGTATACGAGTGATCCAGGTGCGTGGAAATATCCTTGCGCTCTCAGCACTCTGGGTTTCGGGACTCTTTCCCCTCTGCAGGGGCTGTTTGCGGGATGCTCAGCTCGGGGTGGGAGAGCCGCCAGTGTGCCCTGAGAATCTCTGGCCAGCTGCAGAGGTGCAGACTGGAGCCTTGGACCGGTGCCTGCTCT